TGGGACAAAAAAAGTTAAAATTAGTGGCACTGCATACTCTCAAACATAGTCGCTTTTAAAAAAAGGTCGTCTCACGGTGTCCGTGATTCCGGCCATTCTGCTCGTCGGAAATAAAAAAAAAACGTGAATGTTCCTTAATTAGTATGAGTTATAACAGGTACCAAAACAAAAGAAAAAAGTCGGTAATTAAAAAAAGTGGCGATACTTTGAAGTTCGATTATCGATTTTTCCATAGTTTTGTTAAACTTCGGAAGCCTAAAAAAATATAAAAAATAAAATTTTTTGGTTGATTCTGGTAGGTAGCTATAGTCACACACGTACTAGATGCGTACTTAAAATTTTGAGTCAATTTTGGTCAAGTAGATTTTGAGATATCATGGACACCGTTCTGAAAGACATAGTTTCCAGAAAAATGCCTTTAAAGTTTAGTACTGCGGTAACAATGACGCTGGTCGTCGCGTCCTCCAAACAACCATAACTTCGTCAATTTTAAAAGTTCACATGTAAGGTTACAGAGGTTTATTTTTGAAATTACGTCCTTTAAGAATATGCAAAAAAAAAAAGAAAAAATTGATTTTTTTCAAAAGTTCACACTAAAATACACCCTTAATCGTCGTTCAATTGTTCGCGAGCGCCTTTGCGAACAAACCGTGAAAAATGCTGCGGTTTCCTGCGTGATTTGTCACGATAAGATACGACGAGAGAGTTAACGTATGGTTGGCTGCGTTAGTCGCTGCAGATGCAGAGCGCGAGAGAAATTTCTTCGTTGAATGTGATGCGAGAAGCGTGACGTGGAAGCGTTCTTCTTCTTTGAAAAAGGAAAGAGTCAGGCGAGTTGGAAGCAAAGTCAATGAGTCGTGAAAAAGCGTCGAGAGAAGGTTGTTGATCATGTTGTTTGAAAAGAGTTAGTTTGCGTGTTAAAAAAAAAAAGAGTTGTTAATGCTCTTTATCTGTTGCTTCATCACACAACATTGTTATCTAATAAATATCGTTTATACTTTAACCGCTTGCGCTAGTAACTGGTTTGCGGACCATAACGAGTGACCAAAACCGTATACAGTAATACGTCTTCTTTTTGAACCCATCGGACAGAAATTACCAACAAGCAACAAATTTATTATTTGTTTCGCCCCGAGTTGTATTTCAATGTACTTAAAACTGAGAGAATATTGCAAATATCGTTGCCGTTAAAAAAACAGTTTAAGAGTTGTTAATCTGTGTTATTTGTCTTCTCTAATTATTCCTTGTTCAATCACTGTCATCATTGTCATATCATTTACAATAAATACCATTAGCATTTTATCTCTACATTCATACCGAACGACGAGAAACCCTAATCAAACAAACAATCGTTTCGTGAAAGATTCGGAGAAACGCGGAAGAAAGATAAATTCGAAAGCCGAAAGCGTGTCGGGGACGCAGCTTGCAGCTCGGATTCGATTAATCCGCGGAAGATACAAAAGTAGAGACGAGCGCCTTCCACGAGGAGGGAAACTTCCATCTACTTCTACATCGTCGCGAGAACGCGGTATGCTCTTTCCGTAAAGTTGCAGTCCAAGGATCGATCGGGCGTGTGTCTGGTTCGTGGAACGCGGCGAAGTGATTGACAAAGGATCGGGCGTAACCGAGTGACTGGGACCACGTGTCCTATTGCTCATCTGCATTATTCAATTACCAAGTTGCCAAGCGAGCCTTACAGGAAGGGAGCTCGGCTGGAAAATGCGAGTTACGCCGGAGTGCATCCACCGACGCCGGAGAACTCCACTCTCTCCCTTTGTAATTCTCCGTTCAACTCGAACGCATTCTACCACCCGGGCTCTCGTCTTTTTTTCAAACGGCGCGCCGAGAGCCGAGGCGGTTTTTCAGCCGAGCTTTTCCCCGCGAAATGCCGCGTGTACCGCGATGTGCAGAGCTTGGCAAACACGCCGAATTGTCCATCCTTTGGCATTTTTATCGAGAATTTCTTGGAATTTCTTGATTTACAATAAACGTTCGGAATCGGAAAATATATAAATATGCACTAATACATTAGTACATGAATATGTAACTAAGAGAAATATAAATTTGTTCATATTAAAAGTATGCAAAAATGACGAGTATTGCAGTGAACGTTGAAACCAGAAAATAATACACTGTACAACTAAGAAAAATATAAGTTTGTTCGATATTAAAAGTATCGAAAAATGACGAATATTGCAGTAAATGTTGAAACCAGAAAATACACTGTATGTAACGTAAGAAAGAAATCATTTTGTTCATATTAAAAGGAAAATGACGAAGTAAAAAGTATAAAAGAAAAATTTCATTCGGTGTGCGATCGAGTACACCTGGTGCACGTGGCACTCAAAGGTATACCAATATGTAAAATTTATTATTACAATTATCAATGTTGAAACTAGAAAAAATACACTATATTTGTCGTTATGTTCATATGAAAAATATACAAAAATAACGAAAAAGTTGAAACACAAAGCTTTGTTGGATTCCGTGTAATGGAGTCAACACGCTTACAATTTAGAAGAGTTTATTGCCTTACAGTCGTGGTCGTGTATGAATTAGAATGATATAGAATGATTTACAATGTTTAATGCTCTTGAATATGATGTAGAATGATTTAGAATGTTTGATGCTTTTAATGATATAGAATGTCTCTATAATGATTTAGAATATTTTATGCCCTTAATGATATAGGATGTCTTTATAATGATTTAGAATGTCTTAGAATATGATGAATGTCTAACGCTGTGGAATGTCTTTAAAGCATGTCCTTATATATATTTGGTTATCATCGTCAATTGGAAGGGGAAGGAGCAACTATTAGATCTTGCTCTTATGACTAACTATCCACTTTTATATTATTTTATATATACTTTTATATTTATTATACCCAAACCAAAAAACATGCTATACTTATATTTATATGAAAGATACACAAAAATAACGAAGAAATTGAAGCACAAAGCTTTATTGGATTCCGTGTAATGGAGTCAACACGCTTACAATTTAGAAGAGTTTATTCCCTTACAGTCGTGGTCGTGTATGTATGAAATAGAATGATATAGAATGATTTACAATGTTTAATGCTCTTGAATATGATGTAGAATGATTTAGAATGTTTGCTTTTAATGATATAGAATGTCTCTATAATGATTTAGAATATTTTATGCCCTTAATGATATAGAATGTCTTTATAATGATTTAAAATGTTTTGTGCCCTTAATGATATAGGATGTCTTTATAATGTCTTAGAATATGATGAATGTCTAACGCTGTGGAATGTCTTTAAAGCATGTCCTTATATATATTTGGTTATCATCGATCAATTGGAAGGGGAAGGAGCATAGATGACCAACTATTAGATCTTGCTCTTGTGACTAACTATCCACTTTTATATGGACTGTTGCTAGCTCATTGTCAGTATTTGCATAGATTCAACATTGTCTGGATTGGTCATCCAACAGCTTTGTATAAATTTCATTTCTGCAACTAAATAGTTCACCATTTATCAAATTTTGTACACGTGGCATACACAGTGCGCTAATATGCAAAATCTGTTATTACAATAAATGTTGAAACCAAAAAACATGCTATACTTATATTTATATGAAAGATACACAAAAATAACGAAGAAATTGAAGCACAAAGCTTTATTGGATTCCGTGTAATGGAGTCAACACGCTTACAATTTAGAAGAGTTTATTCCCTTACAGTCGTGGTCGTGTATGTATGAAATAGAATGATATAGAATGATTTACAATGTTTAATGCTCTTGAATATGATGTAGAATGATTTAGAATGTTTGATGCTTTTAATGATATAGAATGTCTTTATAATGATTTAGAATGTCTTAGAATATGATGAATGTCTAATGCTGTGGAATGTCTTTAAAGCATGTCCTTATATATATTTGGTTATCATCGTCAATTGGAAGGGGAAGGAGCATAGATGACCAACTATTAGATCTTGCTCTTATGACTAACTATCCACTTTTATGTGGACTGTTGCTAGCTCATTGTCAGTATTTGCATAGATTCAATATTGTACGGGTTGGTCATCCAATAGCTTTGTATATTTATCAAATATTGTACACGTGGCATACACAGTGTGCTAATATGCAAAATCTGTTATATGAAAGCAAAAAACACGCTATACTTATATTTATATGAAAGATACACAAAAATGACGAAGAAGTTGAAGCACATAGCTTCATTAGAACAACCTTAGGAATGATCCAGCGTGTACCAAATTTAGTACACGTGGCACTCGAACGTCACCAGAATTGCTTCTTTAAAACCCCACGAAACAAAAAATTGTCAAATTTCTATCAGCCGCTCCCTTCAGCGTGATTGAAACGCTGACGTGTCCGTTCTCTAGTTTCCCACTTTTAATAAAATTCCTTTCGTCCATGGTAACAAGTTTCGCTGAAACGTCCACCTCGATCGATCTTTCAACTTTCGTCCCAACTTTCCGCGCGAAATATTCCTCACCGCTAAATTTACCCTCGAGTTTTTAAGACTGGCGAGTCGTTGTCCCCTACCTCGATGAAAAATACTTCGAATATATAGGAAAGTAGTACCGCAAATTCGAGAGGGAACAAACCAAAAGCTTAGTAGATTCGAACGGATAGTGCATGCAATGTAACCTGCTAAATTCGGGTGATTCACAGCCGCAGGAAGTACGCACGTGCTGTACGACGTCTGCTAGACGATCTCTTCTCGTCAGCTCTTCATCGCCGATCTTTCGGGTAGAAATCAACAACGATCCACTTCGTTAGAAATCTCGAAGACGAATGGAAATCAAAGCGCCGTTTTCTCTTTTTCTCTTTTTTTCCTGCTCCCGCCCGAAAGACACGAGAATGAAAAGAAACGAGCGCGAGGGAACGAGAGAAATAATGGTGCCGCGTGGTCGTAACGTAAAAGCGAGAAACGTTTTCAAGCAAAAGTATAAGTCTAGTATATCGCCGGCTATCGATTCGCCGTCGTCTTTCACGTGAAACTCACGGATGCTGCCGATGCTCGGAATATCTGGCGTGTCGTTCCTCTGAGAAGCCATAGATGCCGGCTACCGCGGCCATACCTCAATCTCCACGGGCAACAGGGAACTCGATGGCCATTCCAGGTTCATAATACCTCGGCGAAGCTACGAGCGTTGGAAGATCCTACGTGTCCGGTGTCATCTTGTCGCCGTAGAGAGCCTGACCGTCTCTATTTTCAGCCCTGCTTCCCCGATCGACCGTCTGCCCGTTTCGTTCTCAGCCGCAGTAGGAACCGCTCGGCGTCCCGCTCCATAAGTGGCCTTGTCCCTCTTTTAAAATAACCCTCGAGAGACCAGCGCCTGCCAACCTCCTGCCCGGTCCCCTTCTGCCCCTATCGTCGCCGCCTGGACTTTCACACCTTCGTCCTTCGAGCAAAACTTCCTTTCCTCTACCTCCCTCTCGGTCAGTCAGTCTTTCTTTCTTTCTTTCTTTCTTTCAGTCTATCTTTTCAGCTACACCGCACACGAATTCACTGTTCAAGAGAAACCGCCAACTGCTCTCAAACGTTAACGTATCGTAGGCGAATCGTACCAACGTTTATCCTCAACTCGTTTCGTCGAGGAGAAACCTCGACCCTGTCAACGCGTCGAATCACAAAGAAGCTCTCTGCAAGAAGAATCGTTTTTTGTTTTTTGTTTTTTTTTAATCTTCTTTTTTGCCAAGCGAGTATAGTCGAACTCGAGAGGGAGTTATTTAACGATTTTCCTTCGAGGAGGGTGAAATTTTAGAGGACGAAGACCCACTGATCCCGCGGATCGCGTAATCTGAAAGAATCTCGCGGCTGTTCTCTTTCGCGAATGCACGTCCGCGTCGAGTTTTGCAAACTTCGCCTCAAGCGGAAGAAGGCCCGACGAAACGCGTGTTTCGGCTGGACAAAGGAACAATTTCTATCTTTCTACAAATAGCACAAGCTTCTGTCCTTCGATTACTGAACCGCTTAAACGCACACGACGAAATCTTTTAACTGGGAATGACGAGTTAACTTTTCGATTAAACGTTGGATGAACGAAAAAAAGTAGAAGTTCCTATTTTTTTCTTTTTTTTTTTTCGTAAACTTAACCTCTTAAACACGCATGACGAGATATTTCGTCGTGCCAAGAGAAACCACCGCGTTGCGTATAACCTTTCAAGTGATAACGACTCGACGAAACGATTCCTACTTTTCAATACGAAACACAAGTTTCTGTCATATAAATTTACATAACCTCTTGAACGCGTATGACGAAATATTTTGTCGTCTCATGTTGCTTTTAACCTTTTAATTGATGACAATGATAAAATACGCGTTGGATGAACGAAGAAACGATATCTCTATCCTACCACGTAGAAGCTTCTATTTTTTTCTTTTTTTTTGTAAACCCCTTGAACACGTATGATGAAATATTTCATCGCATGAAGAAAATCACTTCGTTGCTTTTAACCTTTTAACTGGCGATAACGACTTAACAACCTCGATAAAACGCGCGTTGGCTGAACAAAGAAACGATGCCTCTGTCTTTCCACGTAGCTTCTATTCTTCCTCGTAACTTACTTAACCTCTTAAACGCGTACGACGAAATATCTCGTCGTGCCAAAAAGAAAAACCGCCTCGTTGCTTTTAACCTTTTAACTTTTTTCAACTAACCTGTCAAGGACCTTCGTAGACGACGCGTATGAATTTAAGCTTGGTGCGTCGTTCCTTTTCTTTTTGCTGTCACGTTAACACGTTGTAACACTCCGATGTTTTTAGACAGAGCTATACTTCCTTGTAGAATTCCGTTGTGCAAATCACTGCGCGATACCTGCCCTTGTGCAATTGCCGAACGCCGGCATCATTTAATCGACGATCAATTACTTCGGTTCACTGAGATGCATTCCCCGGATTGCATATCAAACGCGGAATCCAAGAGCAGCGTAACTCGAAAGTGAAAATTACATTTGGCGAAATGGGACTTCGTAAAGAATCACGATTGTTGATGTCTCACTTAAAGTAAAGTCATGCGCGACGCCACACTTAAAAAAACTGTATCATACGGTTGAAATCGATCTTTGCTCGAAATGCTTTTTCGTGCTTTGAGATCTCTGTTATTTAACACTAAAAATATTAAAATGACAAAAAGTGACAACAATTTAGAATTTCGAAATTTTATATATTTATAACAGTGTGTTTTCAAAGACTCGAATGATATTTAAAAAGAAGTTTGTGCTTTTTCGTATTGTATTGTACACTTTTCTCTGTTGCTTTCAATCTCATTTCTCTGCTACAAATTTTACAGTTCGATCGTCGATAGATCTAGCGTTGACAATCGCGTAAAGTGCAGATTCTATCTTTTCGTATTTACCGCGAGCACGAGTCAACTCGTCGTAATGCATTCGTCGCGAAATGCGCTTTTCAATAAGTTAATCGTTCCAACTGAAACGTTAAGTATTATCGTCGCGACACACTATGTTAAATATTATCGTCAAAATACAGCACGCACTACGATATATCTCGTCAATACGAAGTGCACTATAGACATGACGACCAATCGAAACAATTACCGAATGCAAACGTACGTATTAGGTTAGCCAAAAAGTAATTGCGCCTTTTTTCAATAGATGGACACACGTGTCTACCTTAAAATGTAACCAACTTCATTCTAAACCGTAGAATCGTAGTGTAATGTGATGTTTGTGTGTGTTCAAGGTTTAGAAAAAGAAAATACGTGTGATCTCGTTGAAAATTGTTCGTTCGACGTCAATTTCGAAGTGAAAAATCAGAAAAGAGACATTTTCGTAGAAATGTGTTTGACGGAGCCTTCAAACAACTGTGTCGGAAATGATTTGCTGAATTTCACTTCGAGGACCTCAAATCGTTCTTCGAACTGTTTTTCGTCGATAAAGGTAAGAACTTTTTTTTGAACAAATTGGACAATATATTGAAGCTTTTGTTTCTCACGAAAAAGTAATTAAAACAGAAAACTCGCCTTTCATTCGCAATTACTTTTTTGCCAATCTAATAGCAGATCCCGACATCCATACGGAAAAATCAAATGTTAATTTACGTCCTATTAAACAAGCTACTTCCGATTCGCGATACTGTTAGAAAAATAATTATTTTTTGAAATTCTGAAATGTGAACTTGATTTTTCTATGGTTATTTTCTTTATTTGCCAAAAATAAAGTGAAATCAAATCAAATTTCTTTGTTATAACTGAGGTTAAAAATTCGTGGTAATTCTGAAGAGGTTAAGACGCTAATGGTAGCGATTTTGCGATACATCGACCGAAAGAACTACAGGGTGTTCACTGAAGAACTGAACTATTTGTGAAAATGGTTGTTTTTCACACATGATACTGAAAAAAAAATCCATTAATTATATTTCCAAATAAAATAATAAAAAATTAAAAATAAAAAAAACATGCGTTTGGAGAAGTAATTTTTGCTTTATATCATTCGGTCTTTCAGTGACCACCCTGTACTTGGGTTGAAAAGTCGTCGCTTTGGACGGACGATTCGAAGCAGATTCGCCGCAAATTCGCGGAATTCGAGTTTAGTCGCGCATTGCGGCGTTGTAGCTACAGCGAATTCGCGATTCGTGATGAACGTGACTTTTTGCTCATCGATTTCAGTCACGCGACCCCCCTCCCGGGGGGTTCGACGAAGCGAACGGTCAGTCCACGTTTCACATCGCGAGTCGACCTTCGGCTATTGCCTATTTGCTAAATTCGACCCTTTCTCCTACGGTATTCTTTTCTTTTTTCTCTTTTATTTATTTCTTTTTTTTTTTCACGTCGTGCGATCGAGCAGGAAACGAGGAGACAAAGTACTTATTGGAAAACAACGGCCATTGTCTCTAACTCTGCTGTCGGTTGCTATTAGAGTGATGAGCAGAACTGGACACACGTATGCAATTTTCACATTGATAACGTTTGCATACGAAAAACGTTGTTTTTTGTAAAAAAAAAAAAAAAAAAAAAAAAATGTTTACAGCCTCGTTAACATCGTTATTCTGGCGAATGTAAATTGTCGATACTTTGAACTGTTGTGGCTTAAAAAAAAAATCACGTGATAACAATCTACTTAGTCTCATTTTAAAATGTAAAGTTGTTCTGTTTCCATTGCTCTTGATTTATTTCGGTCTTGAAGATTAGAGTTCCCCATTTACAAGAATCTCTTGAAACTTGTGCGATTATTTTTCATCGTTTCGAGCATTAAAATAAAACGATAAGATTCAGCTTCGAATATTTGGATAAAACGACGAAAAGATTCAAAAGATTCTAAAATTTAGTCGACGTTCAATAAAATTTGGAAAAAGGAAAATATCGTGCAGCAAGCTTCAAGGGATCGTTGCGAAAAGATAATTTTAATTTTCTCAATTTTTATCGATATTCGAATCTTTGCAATTTTTCAGCATAAAAAGAAGCTACTCTTACTTTCTCATCCGCCGACTAGTGTAAAAAAATCCTTGGAAAAGAAACACACACATACACACACAAACTCTTTTAGCAAAGTAAAATTCTCTTCAAACTCTTTTAGTAAAGTAAAATTCTCTTCAAACTCTTTGGTAAGGTAAAATCTTTACAGTAAAAGTAAAATCACGCTTTGAAACCGGGAGCAGATAGTAGACTTCTGTGATGATTTCCTTTCACCGAGTTCAAATTATCGACAATCTTTTATCAGTATGCCTTCAGTTCGCGTTGCGTTCTCTGTTGTATATACAGGGTGTTTCGTAATTTGTGGGACCCACTTCGGGAGCTGATTGTACGCCTAAAAATAATGAAAAAAAGTCCTATCTGTCTTCGTTTATGAGATACAATGAATTTTCTATTTTAATTACTTTTACAAAAGATGCTCGAAATAACCATCTTGCATTTGAAGACAAGCCTGCACGCGTCTTGTCATTCATCTGGTTACTCTCTCTATCATTCCTGGTGTTTCTCGAATTTGTC